TCTATTATACAATAGGTGACTAAGGAACAGGACTAACATCAATAGGACACGGTCTTATCTCTAGCAATAGTTTATTAGGGAGGCCCTAAGCCTGACAGTAGCAAATTGGCAAAAATCAATGGCTGGTCAGTGTGACATTACAATTGTGATATTCAATATTATTATTAATAATAATATAAATAATAATAATAATAATAATAATAATAATAATATTAATAATAATAATATATTGATACTGATAATAATAGAAGTGATTATAACTGGGCTAATACTGATCATACATAGCATCAGGAATAATATATATATGAAATATGTAATATAAAATAAAATATAACATTATAATGAAGCAAGCTGTAGAAAATATGCACTATACCAATAATAATACATAACCGTGATATGGATAATATATACATAGACCTGATGGAGAATAATACATCTATTTATTAGCGAATGTGAAGTCAGATATGAAAACAGTCACAATTGTTTTTAACAGGAACAGTGGCAGTTTTTTTTTTGTAGTGAAATAAACGTAAACCACCACACACCAGTAAATTAGAAAGTTAACAAGACAAAGCAAACGTAATGTATAATAATTATTGTTTTAAAGTCACATAACGTACTAACTTCAACGTGGTTTATATCAGTTGGAACCATAGTCAGTTATTTAGGACGGCCACTTTTACCGTGACGGCTTGGGCGGCTTGGCCTAATTACTCAGCACAGCAGTGGTGGCGCCAGAGTGGGGGGGGGGCTGGGGCTATATCCCCCCCCCACCGGTCGGCGAAGACGATATATTTTGTCGGGGAACAACAAATAACAAAAAATAAAAAAAATATTTACATGTAATATTCGTTTAGCCATCATATTGTTATCACAACAACAACGACGACGACACAAAAAAAAAACAAAAAAAAAAAAACAACAACAACAACAACAGCAGCAGCAGCATCAGCATCAACATCAACATCAACATCAACAACAACAACAACAATAAATAATAATAATAATAATAATAATAATAATAATAATAATAATAATAATACAATGAGACTAATTAAAAATAAGTTGCGTTCTGTTATGACAAATGCTCATTTAGATAGCCTCATGATGGTTGGAATACATCGTGATAGGTGAAGCAACCTCGACCATGACAGCGTGGTTGACAGATTTAATGCAAAATTTCCAAAATATAGAATTTCACTTTCAAGACTGAGGATTTGAAAATAAATTAGATGGTTACATTGCATACTCTTTGTTTCTTGCTTTGTTCAAAATGTTTTGGTTTTGGAAGCTGATTTCAACATTAGAAAGCATAGCCTACATGAAGTCATATTATAGTAACTCGATGCCTATCAAACAAGTAATAAAAAATCGCCATAATTCATCAAATACCCAATGGGGGCCCTAGGCGTCCCCCAGCCAAGTGAGACTCGATTCGCTCCACTAGACCACCCGTCGGGGTCTTTAGCCCCTCCGTCGGGCAGGTCCTGGCGCCACCACTGCAGCATAGTCTAACTGGGCCTTCTGGTCTACCTTAAGCAAATTCGTTATATTCTTCGAATCTATCGGATGTTACATTAAACCAAAGCTAAATCAGTTTACGTTTGATAAAAACAACCTTTATTGATTGAATGTACGTTGTTTTCATACCAATATTCGGTGGAGATTCCCAAACCATTGCCTGCCCGTGAAAA